CAGGAGTACACTGGAGGAAGGTACAGAAATCATCAGCATAAAGATTATAACAGAAATAAGAGCTTTTTGAGCTTTTCACAATTTTTTAAAAATTTAATAAATCTAAATGTTCAGCCGAAACTAGTTTGGCTCAATGGATAGAGCGTCGGCTTGGGGACTGAAGGGTCCTGGGTTCGATTCTGGTCAAGGGCATGTACCTTGATGGTGGGCATATCCCCAGTAAGGGGTGTGCAAGAGGCAGCTGATCGATGACTCTCTCTCATCGATGTTTCTAACTCTCTCTCTCTCCCCCTTCCTCTCTGTACAAAATCAATAAAATATATTTTTTTTAAAAATCTAAATGTTCAGATTATTACAATTGTTCCTCTTTTCCCTCCAATAACTCCCTTCTACCTGGTTCCCACTTCACCTATGCCCTTACCTCCCCCCACTGTCCTTATCCATAGGTGTACAATTTTTGTCCACTCTCTTCACGCACCCCCATACCCATTTCCCCTCCCAAGAATTGTCAGTCCACTCCCTTTCTATGCCCCTGATTCTATTATATTCACCAGTTTATTCTGTTCATCACATTTTTTATTCACTTGATTTTTAGATTCACTTGTTGATAGATGTGTACTTGTTGTTCATAATTTTCATCTTTACCTTTTTCTTCTTCCTCTTCTTAAAGAATACCTTTCAGCATTTCATATAATACTGGTTTGGTGGTGATGAACTCCTTTAGCTTGTTCTTATCTGTGAAACTCTTTATCTGCCCTTCAATTCTGAATGATAGCTTTGCTGTGTAGAGTAATCTTGGTTGTAGGTTCTTGCTATTCATCACTTTGAATATTTCTTGCCACTCCCTTCTGGCTTGCATAGTTTCTGTTGAGAAATCAGCTGACAATCATATGGGTGCTCCCTTATAGGTAATTAATTGTTTTTCTCTTGTTGCTTTTAATAGTCTTGTCTTTGTCTTTTGCTCTTGGCATTTTAATTATGATTAAAATGTGGTCCTCTTTGGATTTCTTTTTTTGGGGGGTTTCTGTGTGCTTCCTGGACTTGTAAGTCTGTGAGGGAGGTTTTCGGTCATTATTTTTTCAAATTGGTTCTCAGTATCTTGTTCTCTCTTCTTCTGGCACCCCCTTAATTTGGATGTTGGTATGCTTGAGGTTGTCCCAGAGGCTCCTTACACTATCTTCAAATTCTTGGATTACTTTTTCTTTTTCTTTTTTGCTTCTTTGTATTTCAAATCTTTGACTTGATTCTTGGGATCCTCTAGTCTGCTGTTGGATCTCTGTATAATATTTTTTATTTTAGACAGTGTATGTTTAATTTCTAGTTGGTCCTTCTTCATATCCTTGAGGGTCTTGCTAAATTATCGGCCTTTTCTAGGAAATTCTTGAAAAATCTTATAACTGTGGTTTTGAACTCTATATCCAGTTGTTTGCTTTCCTCGTTTCTTTCATTTGTGATCTGTTTTTTTGTTGCTGCTGTTGTGGTGGTGGTGGTGGTGTTTTTGTCTCTGCATTTTCGCTGCTTCCCTGAGTAGGTAGAATAGCTTTGTGTGGTAGGTGTCCTATAGGGCCCAGTGGCTCAACCTCCCCCAGTTACTTGAGGTGGACACTTTTGGTGCACCCCGTTGTGGACTGTATACACAGTCTTGTAGTTACATGCAAATCATGTAGGACCTTGTAAGTAATTTTAAGAACTTTGACTTTTCTGAGTGAAGAGGAAGATAGCTGGAATAGTTGGAATGGAAGAATGGTATTATTTCACTTGTATATTAACATAACACTAGAAGAAAAGAAAAATGAAAGCATGAAAACCAGTTATAAGGGTATTATAGTGATCCAGGCAAGAGTTCAGTGTTTGGATGTAGAAAAACTAGAATGTAGGAAAACTAGCAGTGCTCTGCATTAAGAATTGATGTTTGGTTCTTAGAAATATCATTAGGAAATAGAGAAAAAGTAATTCATCCTAGCCATATTGTTCAAGTAGTGATGGAATCTAGCTCTACATAAATAATCTAGAGTGTATACTTAAGTGGCTTTTTATTTAGTCATCACATATCTCCCAATAAGGAATTTTTATACATTATTGTTGCTTTTAATAAGCTGGTTTTAATTCAGTAACCCAAAAGGTCTAACTGTGATCTTAATTGTTGTTATGGCTACGTGTTAAGGTCATAATTTGCTTAAATAAAAATTAAGTGAATAAATACATGATGATAATTTAATTTTTATTTATGAATTCTTAACAATATAGCCTTGTATCACTCTTTTGTAGTTTGGTAAACATTAGAATTTATTACAGATTAAGTAGAATCTCTTGTATATTTTAAAAAACGTTTTTGTTGATGAGAGGAAGGAAGGGAGGGGAGAGAGAGAGAAGCATCGATGATGAGAGAGAATCATTGATTGGCTGCTTCCTGCATACCCTCCTACTGAAACTTGAGTGGAAACAACCAGGAATCGAACCCCAGCCTCCTGGTTCATGGGTCAATGCTCAACCACTGAGCAACACCAGCCAGATATATCTTTTGTATTTTTATATTCATTGTATTGATATTTTAATAAAATCTATAATGCAAAACACAGTACTAGATATTGAGTAGGTTACCAAGGTAATCTTATGTATTCTTCATCTTTAAAAGAATTTAGAGTTTCGAACTACTACAGGAGAATATGTCTTTAAAAAGAAAAAAAATACAAAGACTAATTAGACATAGTGTCTAATCTTGAGCTCAAATTTTGATGATGGATATGTAAACAAATATTCTAGCACAATTTCTATGTATTCAATGGTAGTATAAGCAGAGGTGAGCAAAGGCACACAGGAGATGTTTAAGATACATTTTCAATATTGTCCCTTCAGATTTTATTAGCAGTTACCTAATGCCATTATTATTTAATCAATAAAATATTCTGGCTTCTCAAATTTAAATGATATGTCCTTTTTAGAGCCTGAAAATGCAAAGTTTTTCAAGGGTAAGCAAAAGTAACAGAATATGGTAAAAGAATAAATATTAACTGCTGGAGAAAAGAAAATGAAAGATGAGTAAGCCAAAACCGGTTTGGCTCAGTGGATAGAGTGTCAGCTTGCAGACTAAAAGGTCCCGGATTCGATTCTGGTCAAGGGCATGTACCTTGGTTGCATGCACATCCCCCGGTGGGGGGTGTGCAACAGGCAGCTGATCGATGATTCTCTCTCATCGATGTTTCTAGCTCTCTATCCCTCTCCCTTCCTTTCTATAAAAAAATCAATAAAATATATTTTAAAAAAAGAAAAATGTGTAAGAAATATCCTATATAATAAAGAGTTAATATGCAAATTGGCTCTCATACCCTCACACAAGATGGCCACCCCCATGTGGTCAAAGATGGCTGGCCAGGGAGGATAGTTGTGGGCAATCGGGCCAGCAGGGGAGCAGTTAGGTATCAATCAGACTGGCAGGCAGAAGCTGTTAGGGGCAATCAGGCAGGCGAGCTATTGGAAGCCAGCAGTCCTGCATTGTGAGAGGGATATCCGTCTGCCACAGGGATTGGGCCTAAATTTCATATTCAAGGCCTCTAGTCTATACTAATAAAAGGGTAATATGCTTATTAGACCAGACATCCTTTCAGACAAAGCCACGGTGGCAGGGGGCTGAGGCAGAGGCATTTAAGTGCGATCAGGCAGGCAGCAGGGAACAGTTAGGGGTGGTCAGGCTGGCAGGCAGAGGTGGTTAGGGGTGGCCAGGTCAGCAGGATAGGGCAGTTGGGGGTGACCAGACCAGCAAAGGAGGACAGTTAGGGGTGACCTGGCTGACAAGAGAGAGCAGTTAGGCAGGCGATCCCATATTGTGAGAAGGATGTCCAACTGCTGGTTTCGGCCCAAACCACCAGTCAGATATCCCCTTAGGGGTCCTGGATTAGAGATGATGCAGGCTGTGCTGAGGGACCAACTCCTCTCCCCCGCCCCCTCCCAGTCCATGAATTTCATGCACTGGACCTCTAGTCTAACCTATCTAATAATGAGGGAATATGCTAATTGACCCTAATGCCATAAAAAAGATGGCACCCACTGCCAATAAGGAGGTAATATGCTAATTGACTGTTCCGCCCTCAAAGATAGCAGTATCCACAGCCAATAAGGAAGTAATATGGTAATTGACTGCCACCCCTCAAAGATGGTGGTGTCCACAGCCTCAAGATGGCAGCACCTAGTCCCCTTAGCCCCACCGGAACGGCAAGGCCGGGCCCACCCCCAGATGGGCCTGGCTGCTCCATGCGCCTGTCTCCAGAGTCCTCCTCAGACACCCAGCCACCCAGGGCCGGCCCGAGGCACAAGCAAGCCTCGGAAGGCAGCTGCCCAGGTTCGCCCAAGGCTCAGGTAACCAGGGCCACTAAGGCCTGCGCTGCCGGCAGTGGCAGCAGCAGAGGTGTGATGAAGCATTGCCTCTCTCCGATTCCTGGGTCACATCCTACCCCTGAGGAGTAGGAGGGGACAGGCTAGGTGAGGGGACCCCCCTCCTCTTCAGTACATGAATTTTCATGCAGAGTATGAATTTTCATGTACCACTGCTCTAGTATATGTAAAGAGGTAACATGCAAATTAGTCCAGGACTCCATAATAGGTCATGATAATAGGAGAAGGTTGCACACACAGGTGAGGCCCGGAGTGGAGATAGGAAAGGGGTCCAGGGTTTGCTGTCATTCGCAGGTCCTAACCCTTCTCTGCCTTAGAGCAGACACAGGCATAGGACTAGTGTTCCAGCCTCCCGTGGTGCTCATGAGGCCTGACTCCCGTGGCAGCCATTGCTTTTGTGGGTCCTGACCCCCGGGGGGTGCCTTCTTGCACAGTGGGAGGCTTGGCGAATCCTCACATGATTTCAATCTCACGCTGGGCCTCTAGTATATCTATAAACCTTAATGTGCAAATAAACCAAAAAGCAGAACTACCAGTCACAATGACATGCACTGACCACCAGGGAGCACGCACAGCACTTGTCGGGTGTCGGCCCTGGTGGCATAGTGGAGCAGGGGTACCAGACCAAAGCAAGGCCCCGGTCACTGTCATCGGGGCGAGCCTCTGGTGGTTACTGAAAATTCTTTGCTCCTGTACGCTGCAGTCCCGCCTGGCCCTCATACATGCTGCCAACACCAGCCCCACTCGCACTCAGTGACCGCGCCGTAGCCACTGCTCACACCCGTTGGCGGTGCCTGGCACCAGCCCTGATCACTCAGCGCCATCTGCAGGTGTGAACTGTGGCTGCCAGCCCTGATCACCCTCAGATCTTTTCCACCTTTCCCTGCTCCTGAGGGATGACTGGGACAGCAATCCCTGCTCGCACCCATTGACAATGTGGACCCCACTTGCACCTGCTGCTGTTGCTGGCCCCAATCGCTTCGCGCCATCAGCGGGTGCCAATGGGGCTGGCACTGTCAGTGCATGGGAGCAGCTGCAGCAGGAGCGGGACTGCCTGCAGACAGTGGACTGGGGCTGCTGCAGGAGAGGCTAAGACCCGCCCCCATGCCCAGTGCAGCCTTGCAGCCCACAGTTCCTTTCAAGGTGCATTAATCAGTGCATTGGGCCCCTAGTGTGTGTGTGTGTGTGTGTGTGTGTGTGTGTGTGTGTGTATATATATATATATATATATATATATATATATCACTATGCTACCCAATTTTAAATATGGGTAACATAGTGAGTTTCTGGGCTTGGGGGTCTTATGAGGAAGCTACGGTTCTTTCTTGTATCTCTATCTCTAAAACTGATGCTTTTACAACACTCAGGAAGATTGAAGTAACAAAAGTGAATGACTTTGGTGTACAGTTTCACAATAACAAGGTTCATGGAGAAATTCATTGTTGAATCTTGTTTATATCCTCTTTATTATTGTTTATATTTCTATGTATAGAAAACATCTACCCCAATATAATTACTTAAAGTTACTTATTTAATCATACAAGTTTAATGCTTAACCCTTTTGTGTGTTTTTTCTTATCAGTGTTAAGTAAATTATGGTATATCCATATAGTGGAATACAGTGCAGCTATTGCAAAATTGGTAGGAGTGTTAGTATGAAAAGATCTCAAGAATATATCAAGTAAACCAAGGATAAAGCTCTGTATGTTGCATAGAACACTATCTGTAAATATATGTACAGTATATTCTATATAATAAAGAGGTAATATGAATATTGACCATTACTTCAACACACAAGATGGACACCACCCCCATGTGGTCAAAGATGGCCACCCCCATGTGGATACAAGATGGGCAGTTAGGGGCAATCGGGCCAGCAGGGAGTAATTAGGCATCGATCAGGCTGGCAAGGAGTGGTTAGGGAGTGATCAGGTTGGCAGGCAGAAGCAGTTAGGGCGGTCAAGAAGGCAGGCAGGCAAGTGGTTGGGAGCCAGCAGTCCTGGATTATGAGAAGGATGTCCGATTGCCCGTTTAGGCCCGATTCAGAATCAGGCCTAAATGGGCAGTCAGACATTCTTCAAAAAGTCCCAGATTGGAGAGGGCGCAGGCTGGGCTGTGGGAAACACCACACCCCATGCATGAATTTCGTGCACTGGGCCTCTAGATTGTGTGTGTGTGTGTGTGTGTATACTACCTAGTAAAAGAGCAATATGCAAATTAACCATCACTCTGCTACACCCACAAGCCATGTCCATCAGCTTATTAGAGCGAGTATGCAAATAAACCCAACCAAGATGGGTACAGCCACAGAGAGCAAGAGGGAGGCTTGGGTTTCCCCGGCAACAGAAGCCAAGCTTTCCACCTGCTCTTGCCAGCCTAGGCCTCCACTCAAGGCTACAAAGTTCCAATTATAGAAGGTAAACAAATCCAAATAGAAATGACTGCCAGCCACAGAATGAGCAGGAGGCTTGGTTCTGCTCCAGGCTACAAAGTTTCAATTGTAGGAGGTAAATAAATTCCATGTACCAGGGCCTCCGCTTGGGTCACCAGGGAGCGTGGCTGGCCTGCAAATCACAGGCCCCTAGCTCAGGCCACCCCATGCCCCTTGGGAATCCCCACCCTGATCAGGAACCACACTTCAGAGCAAACCAGCTGGCCCTCACCTGTGCACCAATCCTCTATCCTATCTAATAAAAGAGTAATATGTAGATTGACCATCACTGCAACACACAATAGCTGCCCCCGTGTGGACACAAGATGTCCAGCAAGGGAGGGTAGTTGAGAGGGACCAAGCCTGCAAGGAAGGGCAATTGGAGGCGATCAGCCCTGTAGGGGAGGCCAGTTAGGGGTGACCATATTGGCAGAGGAGGGAAGTTGAGGGCAAACAGGCTGGCAGGGAGCAGTTAGACATAAATCAGGCTGGCATGGGAGTTGTTAGGGAGTGATCAGCTTGGCAGGCAGAAGCGGTTAGGGGCAATCAGGAAGGCAAGCCGGCAAGCAGTTGGAAGCCAGCAGTCCTGGATTGTGAGAGGGATCCCAGATTGGAGAGGGTGCAGGGTAGGCTGAGGGATACCCCCCTCCCTCACCCCATGCATGAATTTCATGCATTGGGCCTCGTAAGTGTTAATACACACACACTTACGAGGCCCAATGCACAAAAATTCATGCACTGGGGGGTATCCCTCAACTCAGCCTGACCCCTTTCACAGTCTGGGAGCCTTCAGGGAATGTCCTACTGTGGGGAGCGGGCCTAAGCCACAGTCTGGCCTCCCTCTACAGGAGGCACTGGGCCAATCAAGAGAAGACGGCCTCCCCCATTACCCTGACACTGCTGGCAGCCACAACCACCTGCCCTAGGTCCTCGCAGCCACCAAGGCTTTGTCCAGGTGGACATCCAGAAGCTAGCTAATCTAATTAGCATATTACCCTTTTATTAGTATAGTAGGTGCCTGGTGCATGAAATTTGTGCCCAGGGTTGGGTCCCTCAGTCTGACCTGTATACCCTTTCTAATCTGGGAGCCCTCAGGGGACCCCTCTCCAATCCGGGAGTTTCTGTCTGTCTTTTCAACCATATGAGCTCATTGAGACCTCAACTCAGTTTGCTCACAGAATAATAGAGGTCTATTTTTTTTTTTTTCTTTGCTCCATTGGTGGAGATTTCCTAGAAGTTGCAGAATATCTTCTTTTAATTTTCTTCAACACTCTGACTTTACTTATGTCTTTCACCTTTGCTTTCCCTCCATCCCCCACCAGCAGCAGTAACTTGCTCTAGGCTCACTTTGCTCTAGTGTCTAAGTCCATGGTCAGCAAACTGTGGCTTACAAGCCACATGTGGTTCTTTGGCCCTTTGAGTGTGGTTCTTCCACAAAATACCACAGCCTGGGCGAGTCTATTTTGAAGAAGTGGCATTAGAAGAAATTTAAGTTTAAAAAGTTTGTCTCTCAAAAGAAATTTCATTTGTTGTACTGTTGATATTTGGCTCTGTTGACTAATGTGTTTGCAGACCACTGGGCTAGGTGATCGTGCAACGTGTCTGCCACCAGAACTATGATTCCCAGTATTCCTGGTGTTCCCTGCACTCTGGGCTTCTGCTTCCAGTCCAGGGGCTGCCACCAGACTACGATTTCCAGAATTCCTGGTGCTCCCCACACTTTTGGTTTCCACTTCTGGTCCAAGGGCTGCAGAAACCAAAAGGACTGGGAACTTTATCTGCCCCAGGCTGGGCTGACAAAACTGGACATTCTAGTGTGTCCCTTGGACCTTGGCTGCTCAGCAGCAGGGTCAGCATGGGCAGGGTCCTGGGGACACCTGCTGTGTCGCCCCTGCTGCTCAGCGCCTTTTTTGTCAGGGTAATTTGCATACTCTCAATTGGCTGTGGACTTTTGAAGGGATGGTCAGTTTATATATTTTTCTAATATTATAGATATATAACAGAGGCTACTTATGAGTACTGGATTTTTTGTTTTTATACTATTGGAATTTTTTTCATTCTTGAGCTTTTATATATTTAAGAAAAACAGTTAAAATTTAATAAAATGTTTACCAAAATTCAGTGATTATAAGGCTGGATGAGAACTTGGTATTTTGATGGCAGCTGGTAGTATCACAGACTGGCAAGATCATCCTTCATGGTGACTAAACCAAAGCTTATTTTGATCAACTGTTGTATGACAGAGATCATTAATAACCATTTTATATACATATACCCTTATTTAAATCTCTAACCAAGCCTATGATGTATAGATTCTATTTTTCTCTTACTGGGGAATATACAATAGATATAGAAGACTGAAATATATTGTCAAGAGACACAAAATTCCAGAGCCTGTGCTTTCAAACCCTGTACGTTAGTATTGTTCAAAAGTGGTCTAGAAATTAGTTTTTTGTTTTTTTTAAGGTTATTATTCCAGACAAAAGACCAGGTTTGAATCTGTATCCATTTCATCAAGTAAAAATAGAGAATCATCTCGATCCTTCTTTGAAAATGTCATACTTGTATAAAAAGAGTAGGAAATATGTTTTATTCATAGCCTGCTATATTCATAGAAGTTTAATGTTTTAACCCTTTTGTTTTGAATTTCACCTGTAAAATGCAAACTTGAAATAACAGTTTCAGTCAGCTTTTGGAATCTTGTATAATTTAACCCTTAATTTCAGTGGAGTACTTTTTCTTAATTTGAAGAAATGTACAATGTGTCTAATTAAATCTTGTTTCTACCTAAAATATTTGTACTACTACCTGTATTGTTAGCAATATCCTTTCAAGACTACTAAAATTTCTCTATTTTAGAAACAATGAACAAAACCCTCTTTATAATGATATACATTCTGTTCGCTTTAAAAAAAAATACATAAGCTTACCTATTTTTTCCTCTTTTTAGGAACACCATCTTCAGCGGGCTATTTCAGCACAACAAGTGTATGGCGAGAAGAGGGATAATATGGTTATACCTGTCCCAGAGGCAGAAAGTAATATTGCTTACTATGAATCTATATATCCTGGGGAATTTAAGATGCCAAAGCAGCTCATTCACATACAGCGTAAGTACTCTCTTAATAATTATCCTATATATTAAAAGGGTAATATGAAAATTGACCCTAATGGCAGAATGACTGTTTAACCAGACACTGTGAGGTGCACTGACCACCTCTTGGTCCCTTTCCCTGGCAGCTGACTCCCTTGCCCAATGGAAATGGGAAACCGCAGATGGTGGCGACGGGATGGGGTCAGCTGCAGCCGGGGAAGATGGCCCTAATCACAGGCCAGGGCTAGGACCTTACCTGCCATGAGTTTCGTGTGCCAGGCCTCTAGTATCTTCTATATTTATCATCTTCCAATGTAACTCTTGACAGATTTTTATCTGCTCAAGGCCATTTTCAGTACCCATTTCATTGACCACTGTTAATTAA